CATTTTGTTTTTTACCATTCTGAAATCAAGAGATATTAAAATAAATAGATTGCTAGATTTATTCGATGCACCTTTTCCAATTAAAAATTACATTAAATTTTAAACCGTAGAAAAGTTCTCAGCATTTGTCACACATTACACTGAAACCATTATCTCTACAACATTTCAACAACTCATCCAGATCCCGCTCCTCAGGCAAGATAAACCGGTTTTACCCACTGAATGTGTCAAGTCTCAACATTAAACCGACAGATTTTCAAAGTTCAACAAGTACATGAAGCCTTTTCTGAGATTCTGTAATTATCAGCTCTCATATTTGTCCACTCCAGAGCAGATCATTTATTTAGGTATAGTATGAGGTACAATGACAGTACAACAAACCCTTTTCATATGAAGTTCATTACAGTAGATTCAAGTGTGCCTCTGTAGCTTTTATGTCTGTTGCATAAAATGCATTGATTAGATTAGGTTTAATGTTTCTTTTTATATCCAATAAGAAGATTGAAGTAAAAAAAATCACCCTTCAGTCTATAAACCCACTGGGCAAATTATTCAAATGACCAGCTAAATGACAGAAGCAGACAAGGAAGTGTTTATGTTGTTTGTCAGGTTGAATGTGCCAGGTAATGGAATAGCATTTTAACAATCAGAAGATAGCTAAAAGATGTATTCTAAAATATAGGAATTATTGTGTCAACTTAGGGTAGCAGAGGGTTAGGGTTGTGGTCAGTTAAAACTGTTGCATGAGTCATTATAGGATAAAATGCTGGTGGTATCATGTTTCACCTGTCGGTACTTTCCTGTTATCCGGACCCCACCATATACCATTTAGGAACTATAGTCATCCCTGATTGGTCTTAACCCCAGTGATGGGTAGGTTTAGGGGGGGGTTTGGGGTAGGCCATCGTGGGGTCCGGATCCCACTAAATACCATTTAGCAACTAAAGTCATCCCTGATTGGTCTTAACCCCAGTGACGGGTAGGTTTAGGGGCGGGGTTAGGGGTAGGCCATCGTGGGGTCCGGATCCCACCATATACCATTTAGGAACTAAAGTCATCCCTGATTGGTCTTAACCCCAGTGATGGGTAGGTTTAGGGGCGGGGTTTGGGGTAGGCCATCGTGGGGTCCGGATCCCACCATATACCATTTAGGAACTAAAGTCATCCCTGATTGGTCTTAACCCCAGTGACGGGTAGGTTTAGGGGCGGGGTTAGGGGTAGGCCATCGTGGGGTCCGGATCCCACCATATACCATTTAGGAACTAAAGTCATCCCTGATTGGTCTTAACCCCAGTGATGGGTAGGTTTAGGGCCGGGGTTTGGGGTAGGCCATCGTGGGGTCCGGATCCCACCATATACCATTTAGGAACTAAAGTCATCCCTGATTGGTCTTAACCCCAGTGACGGGTAGGTTTAGGGCGGGGTTAGGGGTAGGCCATCGTGGGGTCCGGATCCCACCATATACCATTTAGGAACTAAAGTCATCCCTGATTGGTCTTCACCCAGTGACGGGTAGGTTTAGGGGCGGGGTTTGGGGTAGGCCATCGTGGGGTCCGGATCCCACCATATACCATTTAGGAACTAAAGTCATCCCTGATTGGTCTTAACCCCAGTGATGGGTAGGTTTAGGGGCGGGGTTAGGGGTAGGCCATCATCCCTGATTGGTCTTCACCCCAGTGACGGGTAGGTTTAGGGGCGGGGTTAGGGTAGGCCATCATCCCTGATTGGTCTTCACCCCAGTGACGGGTAGGTTTAGGGGCGGGGTTAGGGGTAGGCCATCATCCCTGATTGGTCTTAACCCCAGTGATGGGTAGGTTTAGGGGCGGGGTTTGGGGTAGGCCATCATCCCTGATTGGTCTTCACCCCAGTGACGGGTAGGTTTAGGGGCGGGGTTAGGGGTAGGCCATCATCCCTGATTGGTCTTAACCCCAGTGACGGGTAGGTTTAGGGGCGGGGTTAGGGGTAGGCCATCATCCCTGATTGGTCTTAACCCCAGTGACGGGTAGGTTTAGGGGCGGGGTTTGGGGTAGGCCATCGTGGGGTCCAGATCCCACCATGTACCATTTAGGAACTAAAGTCATCCCTGATTGGTCTTAACCCCAGTGACGGGTAGGTTTAGGGGCGGGGTTTGGGATAGGCCATCGTGGGGTCCGGATCCCACCATATACCATTTAGGAACTAAAGTCATCCCTGATTGGTCTTAACCCCAGTGACGGGTAGGTTTAGGGGCGGGGTTAGGGGTAGGCCATCGTGGGGTCCGGATCCCACCATATACCTTTTAGGAACTAAAGTCATCCCTGATTGGTCTTAACCCCAGTGATGGGTAGGTTTAGGGGCGGGGTTAGGGGTAGGCCATCATCCCTGATTGGTCTTCACCCCAGTGATGGGTAGGTTTAGGGGCGGGGTTTGGGGTAGGCCATCGTGGGGTCCGGATCCCACCATATACCATTTAGGAACTAAAGTCATCCCTGATTGGTCTTAACCCCAGTGACGGGTAGGTTTAGGGGCGGGGTTAGGGGTAGGCCATCGTGGGGTCCGGATCCCACCATATACCATTTAGGAACTAAAGTCATCCCTGATTGGTCTTAACCCCAGTGATGGGTAGGTTTAGGGGCGGGGTTAGGGGTAGGCCATCATCCCTGATTGGTCTTAACCCCAGTGACTGGTAGGTTTAGGGGCGGGGTTAGGGGTAGGCCATCATCCCTGATTGGTCTTCACCCCAGTGACGGGTAGGTTTAGGGGCGGGGTTTGGGGTAGGCCATCGTGGGGTCCAGATCCCACCATATACCATTTAGGAACTAAAGTCATCCCTGATTGGTCTTAACCCCAGTGACGGGTAGGTTTAGGGGCGGGGTTTGGGATAGGCCATCGTGGGGTCCGGATCCCACCATATACCATTTAGGAACTAAAGTCATCCCTGATTGGTCTTAACCCCAGTGACGGGTAGGTTTAGGGGCGGGGTTAGGGGTAGGCCATCGTGGGGTCCGGATCCCACCATATACCATTTAGGAACTAAAGTCATCCCTGATTGGTCTTAACCCCAGTGATGGGTAGGTTTAGGGGCGGGGTTAGGGGTAGGCCATCATCCCTGATTGGTCTTCACCCCAGTGATGGGTAGGTTTAGGGGCGGGGTTTGGGGTAGGCCATCGTGGGGTCCGGATCCCACCATATACCATTTAGGAACTAAAGTCATCCCTGATTGGTCTTAACCCCAGTGACGGGTAGGTTTAGGGGCGGGGTTAGGGGTAGGCCATCGTGGGGTCCGGATCCCACCATATACCATTTAGGAACTAAAGTCATCCCTGATTGGTCTTAACCCCAGTGATGGGTAGGTTTAGGGGCGGGGTTAGGGGTAGGCCATCATCCCTGATTGGTCTTAACCCCAGTGACTGGTAGGTTTAGGGGCGGGGTTAGGGGTGGGCCATTATCCCTGATTGGTCTTAACCCCAGTGACTGGTAGGTTTAGGGGCGGGGTTAGGGGTAGGCCATCGTGGGGTCCGGATAACAGCTGTCAAACCTGAAGAACACCATAGATTTTCAAAAGCGAACTACTGTAGATGTGAAGTTGGTAACTGATGAAAGATAAGTGTAAGTCACTACAATGCAGCAAATGCTTGCAAGTCTGTACAATATTGTTGTATCTCTGACGTGTTATGTTGCGGCACGATCAGATAGTTTCCTGGAAATGACAGTGTGGAGCATTCAGTTCAAGTAACTTCGATCTGCCGCCAGGAGTCACTCACTACTGAACTTGTAATGAAAATGAAACCAATTGTGATGTCATTATTTCCACTGTGTGCTTAAAATGTTGGACTGAACTAAGGAGGTCTAAAACACTTCAGGCAGTTCATGCAGCCTCTGAAGTACAACCTGGATGCTGGCGTCATTTTATGGAGACATTTTTGGGCCATTATATGTTTGTTTGGTCATTTTAAATGTTGTTTGGAAAAGTTCTTCATCACCAGAATACAGTAAAAGGCCTATAACAGAGAAACATACCTTCAGTACATAGTGGTGTAATTACAGCATCTACCAGCAGGGGATAATTAACCTCACCTCTGCTGGACAGAATTTAAAGGAGCTATATTTAGAATTCAGAAACCCTTGTTATTAGGGACAAGTGGAGAAGTTAAGTGAACTGCAGCTTATTGCTCGAGAAGTTGTGACTTTGCAGCAATATACTGTTAACGAACATCAAGAAGCTGTCAGTGCTGCTGAGAGCGACGTTTAGATGAATATGCCTTCTTTTCAATAAGAATATAAACGCGACAAAAATGACAGCGGTGAGAAAACAGCAGTTAAGAAAGCATCTGATCATATATGTGTTGAGAAGCTGCATTGCTTTGTGTTTACTAAACGGAAGTGTAATGTGAAACTGTACCACTAGAGGTCCCTAGAGGGCTCATAAAAGATGAGAGAAAGTGCATTAGAAAAAAAATGAAGATTAGAAATTCAAGTTGAGAGACAGGCCAATGCCATCTCTTCTGTGCTTTATTGATACCTAATACCCCAAATAGCGATGTGGATATGTTTGCTCCAGCTACGCAATTTACCGGCATCATATTGACAGATGAGGAAATTAAAATTTCGCTTATGATAGTTTTTGGAGTACATTTGAGACTGTGTGTATATATGTATATGACTATGTGAAACTATAGTTTGAATTATTCCCTTCTTTGCATGACACATTGACATAACAATAGGCCAACAGACTAGGTCTTTCGGTATAACCCTGAACATTGTATAAGCATTCGTTTCATGTGTCGTTGAACGGAAGAGAGGCTCTCGGGGGAGCGCGCAAACATCACGTCTTTTGATTTTCCTTGCAAGATCAACATGAGTCCTTCACATAAAAATCAGTCTAGGCTTTCACAACCTAGAAAGTCGGGGAAGGCCTCGTTTTTTTAAGTTTTGTTACAAGCTATTCACACATTGGCAATGAAAAGCGACTAATACGTTAGAATTCTTACACACAGCCCCTTTTTTTTCTCCTTTTGTAGGCATCGCATATTATGTGTAATATTCCCAAATAAACAAAACTCGAGGAAAGCAACTTCAAAACCCACTGTGGCAGAAGAAGAGACCTACGTATTATGGATTGGATCCAGGACGCTGGTCCCACACAGAGGTCAGTGTCCAGCAGATAAATGAGATAAATGAGTGCACATTAATGTACAGCTTCACCCATTATAGCAGGCATCTGAATGTGACTGGCCACATCCACCCACATATCTATTCTTTTATAGCGTCAATCTGAACCCTGATTCAATCCCTGCACAAACTGGACAAAAGCATTCCCAAAATCATACACCTCTCCCAAGATGTTAAATAAATCAGTGGGGCTACAAAAAAGGTAAGCCTCATCTGTACAATTCCAAAGGTTGTTTCTGTTCCAATGGTCAAGCTATGATGGTCATATCTACAGATTACCTGTCGGTCAGTATCTCATTGGATTGAAATTAAAATGTCTTAATGTTAGACTGTTAACCCAATGATCTTTCAGTATAAGACATACCTGCACTGGATTCAAACCCCTTTTTTAAACCTTGTCTACCTCTAAAGGATTCATATTAATTATATACACCCTTTAGGGGTACATGAGTGCATAAGTTTACAGCCCTGGTGAAAAGCCGCTTTAGCTCTAAAGGCACAGTTTTTGCTAATATTTTTCTCTAAAATATTATTGGTAGGCAGAGTATTAAAACAAAAACCCTAAAACTCATTTGTGTTGAAATGGGTATAACCAACACATTCTTATCTTATCCTTTGAAATTTCCTCTAAACCCAACGAACATGGCACCCTTTAGCGTCAATATAACACGCACAGAGCTTAGTTCGGTTATGGTAGATTTAGTTCTAGGGTAGGTTTAGGGGTTACACCACTAGGAGGCGCCTTCTGGCCCATATATATCTGCGTCTCATATTGACGCTAAAGGATGCCATGCACGTTGGATGTAGACGAAATGTCAAAAGCATCAGTATATGACGCCTTGAGATGGATTTGCTGACTTTTGCACACATTTGTTTTAGTTGTTTGTTTGTTATGCATGTACGCTATTTTTCAAGATTTTTTTTGCTCTTATGCTCACCAAGCCTGCATTTATTTAATCAAATACTGTGAAAACGTTAATATTATGAAATATTACAATTTAAATTAACTAGTCATCAGTCTTCAGAGTCACACGATCCTTCAAAAAATCCTTCTAATATGCTGATTTGCTGCTTAAGAAACATTTCTTATTATTATCAATGTTTTTAATATTGTTTGTGGATAATCATTTTAATCAGGATTCTATGATGAATAGAAAGCTCTAGAGAAAAGTATTTATTTGTAATAGAAACATTTTTGTCAAATTATAAATGTCTACTGTCACTTTTGATAATTAGCTTATTTTAATAAATACGCTACTTATTTCATCCTTTCATCATCAGACTAGAAAGTGCATTGCTATTTTTTCCCTGTATATTACATAAAAAAATGTAACATAAAAAAAGGTTCCCTAATATTCCACATGTCCACAAAAAAATGTTCCTGATAAAATCATTTCTGGAGTATAAAATAAGACTCAAACACAGAATCACATTTAGAGCACTTTATTGTTTTTCATCACTCCGAGTTAGGTTGTTTAATCTCAAGAGTTCCTGTGCTGGTTGTTCTTGTTTGAGATCTCACTTGGTCTCGGTAACTGCCTGGGTGGAGGAGATCACTTTTCCGTCCTTAACCTCCTCTACAATGGTTACCACTTTGCGTGTAGTTGAAGTTGAGGTTTTGGTTGAGGACTGTGCAGTTTGAGTGCTTCTAAGGTTGGGGGAAATATGAGGAAAAAAGTAGTCAGAATCATCTCAATCTCATTGTTACTGAGAAATCAGGGTGTGAATGTGCATTTTAGCATCTCACCCAGTAGCCTCTCCATCCAGGAGTCTCCTGTACTCTGCAATCTCCATCTCCAGTCTGGCCTTGATGTCCAGAAGCGTCCTATACTCTTGACCTTGGCGCTCCAGGTCGGCACGAAGTGACATCAGCTGCTGTTCCATGCTGGTCACTTGCGATTGGTAGCCGGACAACATGGCGGAATAGCGGGCCTGTGTCTCTTGCAAAGTGCCTTCCAATGACGATTTCTGTTGAGGGAAGAGTCATTATTCTAACGGCTTTGTGAAGTTTCAAAATCGCAAGTTTAGACTGACCTGGTCGTCTACTTACCATGCTGAGTTGTGATTGTAACTCGATTTGAAGACTCTGGAGTGTGCGTTTAAGCTCATTGATTTCTGTTTTGGAGGAATTAAGGTTTTCTGTGCTTTCCACGACGACTTTGTTGATGGATTCGCTCTGTGAGAGACAATCCATAGAAGAGCAGTCAGATAAGATCTGGATCTTGGATTTGATTTGGGATTGGTTTCTTTTGGCCAATATAAATAGTCTGATTTTACCTGGGCCTGGAACCAGGCGTCGAGTTCTCTTCGGTTTTTAGCAGCAACGCCCTCGTAGTGCTCACGGATTTCAGCCATGACCTTTGACAGATCTTCCTGTGGTGCTGCGTCAACCTCTACATTGACCTGTCCAGTCATCTGGGCACGTGCGGCCAAGAGTTCCTGAAGATGCGATATCAAACCATTGAGCATTTGCTTCATTTAAAGGAATCACTTATTTATCAAAGAGTGTGTAAACCAATCACCAACATACCTCCTCGTGGTTCTTCTTGAGGAAGATCAGCTCTTCTCTCAGGCCCTCAATCTGCATCTCCAGATCAGATCTGGCCATTGTCAGCTCATCCAGCACCCTTCTCAGCCCAGCAATATCTGCCTCTACTGACTGCCTCATGCTCAGCTCATTCTCATATCTGCAGAGAAATTAAACCATTGGAAATCAATTGGACCCATTTGAGATGTTGATCGCTTTTCTCTTAGTCATGTGTGGACTTACTTGACTCTGAAGTCATCTGCAGCCAGCTTGGCATTGTCAATGCTGAGGTAGATGCCTCCATTAATACGAGTCGCATCCTGGATCTTCGGGGGGAAAGCATATAGCCAAATTTAGATATCTCTGTATTTAATAAGACATGTTTTAACAATTCTCCAAAGACAAAGTTCTCAAAGATTTAATTGGTTATTTTGTGCACACACACACACACACACACACAAAAATCACTTGTATGGTTCATTCTCATAAACTGCATATGACATCCTTTATTTAAGCACATTATTAGTATACAGGCAAGTTAACACAAGATAAGTAGTTATTTATTTACTAATAACTGTTTCAATTTTGTTCTTCTGACAACGCCACATACTTTGTTTTGGAGATCGTTGATGGTAGCGTAATAGGCACTGTAGTCCCGTGCAGAGGGGGACGTCTTGCTCTCCAGGAACTGGCGGATCTTCAGCTCAAGATCAGCATTGGCCTTCTCAAGGGTGCGCACCTTCTCCAGGTAGGTGGCCAGACGGTCATTGAGGTTTTGCATGGTGGCTTTCTCATTTGCAGACGCATCAAAGCCATCACCAGCACCACCTCCGAAACCAGCACCACCACCGAATCCAGCACCACCTCCAAATCCAGAACCACCTCCAAATCCAGAACCACCTCCGAAGCCGCCACCACCTCCAGCAGAGTAGGAACGAGAAGCAGAGGCACTGGAGATACGGACACCAGATCCTCCAGCTCCACCGTACACGCTGCCAGCACGCATGCTGCCAGCACGACCACCACCGGACATGGAGAACTGAGATCCTCCTCCCATGGAACTACGTGCGTATGAGGCAGACATGATATCAGAGGAGGCTTGCTGTTCTGCTCTTTCACTGGAGAGAGTGTGAGAAGTGAGGAAAAGATGACCCCATGATCTTCTTTTATTTGGAAATAGAGGGAGGCAACCATAAGGAAAGGCGTTGTGGTTTAGCCAAAGAGGTGGAGTGAGAATCCATTGCCTCCCTCTGTAAAACAAACACAGGGTCACATGCACTCACGCAGCCAACTGCAGGGTTTAATAACAAGGTCTGGATTTTATAGGAAGGCATTTCACCATAGTGTGCATACGTTTTTGATTTGAAGCCTTGTAGTTTAGTTAAAAAACCTTTTGTGCACTCAAACTCTTAAAAGTTTAAAAAGTAACACAATCCATGGTACATAATATATGGGAACCACATAGAATGTGTGTGATACTGTATATGAAGAGTTCAGATGCAAAAGCCTCTAAATGCCATTTAATATTTTCTTCTAAAATGACCATTTTTATCAAGCTTGTATATTTAAGTTCAGTAATTTCACTTAAATGTCAATTAATAGGTAATTATCATTGCCATTTAAGTGAAATTACTGAACTTAAATATACAAGCTTGATAAAAATGATCATTAGAAGAAAATTTCAAATGGCACTTAGAGGCTTTTGCATCTGAACTCTTCATATATACACATCGGGAACTTGGACTAAAATACATTCATCCAACCTTACCGATACATTCTAAATGTTCAATACAGTCTATCATGAGTTTATATTGTTTGGAAAATCACAAAATGCAACTAACATTTTAGTTAGCCTAATTTCTTTTGAACCTGAGGGGAAAACGCTTCTGCGAATATAAGAACTATAAAGTGAGAGTTTCTGTCCTCAGGGTGCCAATACAGAGCCACACCCATAGAGCAAGCTGCAGCAAAGCCACAGTTATTGCAAGATTATAGAATTAACAGAACGGTCATATCTTTTTATTCGAAAATACATTTTATTTATAACTCTTTAAGATTAGCCATCAAAATCTCAAGTGATGCATTGTGTTTGGATTAAATCATTATTTACACTATCCTTGTTAAATCCAAAATATGACGATAAGCCTTAATGTTGTTGCCATGGTGACAAGAACAAATAATAAGCAACCAGAACAAAAGCGTTAAGGCCGTAAATTTGATGGCCTGATAGGAGAACAAAAAAGGCTTTTAATAATTAAGCTTCGCCTGATGGCATGGAGTGTTTTATAGTACAGAAATAAAGGTGGGATATGAAACACCCATCACCATAAAAGCTGAGAACAGACTGTGAGTGAGAAGAATACAAATAATTTGTGATTCTTTGTGATTGCTTGAGGCATTCATGATAATGACTTTTTCTATTTGACAAAAACTGCTTTATTTAAATCTTGCATCGTTATAGGTTTTGAAATGTGGGTGAGATGTCTTGGTGTGTTTTAGTTGGACTTCCCGCTCATGTCCTGGCTCACATTATTTCAGTTTATATGCCACAGTTTCATGCTTTGCTGCAGGACTATTTATATTTTGCACTTGCTTATTGTAGACAAGCGATGTGTTTATGACCAAGGTTGTGTCCCTATGGAGATGTAACTTCACAGAATGAACTCAACAGTATGGCCAACGAGTGAAAGGGTGGTTCTCTTCCTGAAGTTTTAGGCGCTTGGTGTCAATAAAGTACAGGGAAGTGTCAGAGAAAAGTCAAACATTTGATGATATATCGTTTTATGGGATAGTCGAGCACAGTTTACACTGTTCCTCTAGTGTGACAAATAGAGGAGTGTGAGGAGGTTTAATATCTAAAGTAGATATGAAAAATTAGGCCTGATGCTCCTGCTCCTAATTAAGTGCAAAATAGGGTCCCACTTGATATTAAGTGGCTTTAAGTACTATGTACTTACATTTAAAAATAAGTACAATGTACTTATTGTGCTCATGTTGTATTGTAAATCACTTTTGCTGCTATTGAGGTGTGATACGGGTAAGGTTAGGGACAGGGGTGGTGGTATGGGTCGGTTTAAGGGTGGGTTTAAGTGTAAGGGATGGGTCAGCTGTGTAATTACATAAATTAATTACATGCTGGTATTTTTTAAATATAAGTACAATGTCAATATCAAATTATTAATTTCAATGTAAGTACATGGTACTTAAAGCCACTTAATATAAAGTGGAACCCAAAATAGTAATTAGCTGCACTTTTATCTGTTATCATGTGTTATCAGTGTTATCACTTTTGTAATTTAGTCATTCCAGTAATTCAAATCTGTGAAATTAGATTCATTTATAAGTTATAATACATTGCACTTTGTGAGTCATTGCAATTTGCTAATGCAATACAACTATTTTCTTTTATTAAGGAATCCAAATATGACTCACATTGTCAAATGACAAAGGCTTTTTTTAACGGAAAATTGCTTTTGTATCTCTCTGAGCAGCATTTGTTGTTTTGTTTTTTTTGCTCCAAACAAAAGCATGCATTTTAATCCATGTGTTTTTCTTTGCCTTTTGTTTAGATTTTCATTGCTGTGCTTTTGTGCGGCTCTCTTTATGAGCCTGAGCTAGGAAAGCATTTGAGGACAAAGGGTGTGTCAGATCAATACAAAGCTCCGTGCAGGTTAGGTAACATCTAGAGACTGACAAGGGGACACATTCTTTCATTTTTTCTCCCTTATGGTTTGACAAGTATACGCAAGTATGGGCCTATAGAGAAACTGTTATATGAGTGCCATCCACCCTCAGAAGTGATCTTCTTTTGTTCTTCTGATAATTGCAAATAATCATAACTCAGGGAAAGTTTTGCAAGTGCATGTGTTCCAACTGTTTGGTCCAAAAGTGCTTTGCTCCAAAAAGAATACTGACAGTTATATCATATATCAGTTATAATATAAGGGTAATTTAAGTTTTTGTAAATGCGGTAAATCTAAAATCTAATGCGGGGGCAAATTGTACGATTTTGGGTCCCAAAACGCCTGTCCCAGACGATTTCTTTGGTCGTGGCTCCCAAACGGTAGTCCTATGTCGTACAGTGATAGAGGTTCAAAGATGGCCGTTGTCACGCTCTTGCGACTAAAGATAGCCTGTGATAATTTTCTGACAGTGTCAGAATGAAATGAGAGTGCCATGTTGCGTTAAACGATGAAATGGCATATTGTTTAACGCAACATGATGGCACTATAAAGTGTTATATGCAACCCTCGTTCCCTGAAGGAGGGAACGGAGACGTAGTCTGAATGGGTTCATGCCAGGGAGCCAGTCATCTTTGAGTACTATTGAAAAGAGCCAATTGCCGAATTGCCGAGCGTGATTTGAATCACACACTTCACCACCACGGTGCGGATAAAAAATACAGGAGTGGATGGCTGGGCGTCCTTACTGCGGCCGGCTCCATTCTGAGGCCTGGCTGGACAATAGAAAGAATAGCAGAGTCCACTCTATAATCATAACGGCACAAATAAACAAATTATTTTCCAGCTGATAAACTATAAAAACATTGAATCCAATCAGAATCCACCAGACTTTAAAGAGCTTTCAAAGACTGCACAACAAAACTGCAGCGTGCATATAATAAACAGAATGTTATCGTCAACTTTCATTATTAACATTATGTTACATTTATTCATTTAGCAGATGCTTTTAGAGAACAATGAGAACAATAGAAGCAGTAAAACTAACAGTAGGACAACAATACGTAAGTGCTATAACCCCTCTCAGTTTAATTTTAGTGCATTTTTTTTTTGTAAAGAATAGTAGAGAAGAGAAAGTGTTTGTACTACTGTTAGTACTAGCAGTTTATAGTTAGCATTTTTTGGTGTGAACGGGCCTTAAAGGACAACTCCGACGCAAAAATGAACCTTTGGTCTAATTACACATTGTTACCTAGTCAACCGTTATCTGAGATTTGTGTTCATGATTGCCGAATGTAAATAGTTTTATCTAAAAAAAACAGTTTAGCCTATAACGCTATATAACGCTAGTATAGGGCATAGAGTAATGACAAATAAAAATCGCTTGTTAATACCACTAACAAAGCTCAAAATAGCCCCATACTAACACGACAGCATAATAAGGGTCCCTACATTCAAACCGAAGCATTGAGAACTTTGTCAGTGTTCAGTAAAGAAGATATTTTATACACACAGTCAACTTCGCGAATACAGGAAGAAGCCATCTTTGAAAAATAGTCTGTACCAATCGATCTACGAACGCCGATCCAAGTGCGCTGAACTGTCCAGAATCTCAAATGGTCCGTTGTTTCCGGAAGAAACACAAACACGAACCGTTTTCTTCTCTTCAATATGTACATGTTGCCTACTGTTCGCGCTCACCTTATCACCTTATTCACATCTCACCAGCGCACATGGATCGGCGTTCGTAGATCGACTGGTAGAGACTATTTTTCCAAGATGGCTTCTTCCTGTATTCGCGAAGTTGACTGTGTGTATAAAATATCTTCTTATTAAACTGTATGGACACTGACAAAGTTCTTAATGCTTCGGTTTGAATGTAGGGACCCTTATTATGCTGTCGTGTTAGTGTGGGGCTATTTTGAGCCTTGTTAGTGTGGTAATAACAAGCGATTTTTATTTGTCATTACTCTATGCCCTATATACTAGCGTTATCCTAGGATTATAGGCTAAACTGTTTTTAGAGATAAAACTATTTACATTCGGCAATCATGAAAACAAATCTCAGATAACGGTTGATTAGCTATGTGTAATTAGACCAAAGGTTCATTTTGCGCCAGAGTTCTACTTTAAATGGAACTAGATTAAAAAGTTCGTCGAGACAAACTTTAAGTTGGCTTGTGAAAGTTTGGAACAGAAAGTTTGAAGAAGTTTAAAGTAGTTTGAAGAAGTTTAAAGTAGTTCGAAGTTTAAATTAGTCTAAAGTTTAAATTAAGTTTAACTTAGTTTAAAGATAGATAGATAGATAGATAGATAGATAGATAGATAGATAGATAGATAGATAGATAGAGTTAGAGAGATAGATAGATAGATAGAGTTAGAAAGAGACAGATAGAGTTAGAGAGATAGATACATAGATAGATAGAGTTAGAGAGATAGATAGATAGAGTTAGAAAGAGACAGATG